CAGGGGATTTCTGCAGAAAGTGTTAGTTGTACTTCTCCATCCTGGTGGTGGCAGGGACCCAGAAACTCAAGGCCAGTCTGCTGGGATAGTCTGATACTTGTTAGAACACAAAAGGCTTAAGGATGACTATGTAAAAAAAAACCAACAAACAACCCAACAACAACAACAAAAAGGTTAAAAGCTACCAAACTCATAGAAAAACTCTACACCACAGCTATTTTCCTCTCAGTGAAAACTATATTTCTCTAATGGCATACATAAGTGAAGGACATAATAATTCTCTAAGCAAGAGAGAGACTTCCAAGTGCACAGAAATAAAGGTTGTTTACTTTATTTGTTCATGTTATGTTGTTGAGGTGTCAATACATTTTATGTAAACATTTTGCTGCAGTAAGTGCTACTAGACTTCGTAATTACAAATTAGAAAACCAGAGTAGGGCCTCTTCTGTGCCTTAGAGGATATGCTTGGGCAAGTACTAATAAATAAAGACAAAAGGCTCATGCCATGCATCATTATTTTTAATCAAGTAAAACGTGTTTTACTCCACTAGAACTCTACAGTAACTGAAAGCAAAGATATTTTGGCTGGTCATTATCTCATTGGAAGAGAGGTGTTCAAGGCTGCTGCTGATGGGTGCAGTCCCACGTGAAAATGTTTAAGGACCAGGGAGGTTGGAGGGCAGACCTCTGTACTTGCTCAGGGTGTAGGTGACACGTGGCATCCTTATTTTTTCTGATCTGCTCAAAAAAGAGACTGGGAAGACTGCAGTCAGCCAGACTCCAGGGGAAGCTCCAGGAATGAAGAGGTGTGAAGTGTTAACCTCTTCACCCTGTTAGCTGAACAGCTGGGTCACAAAAATGGTTGGGCTATAGACTTAAATTAACTCTGCCAGGTAGACAGAGTAGACCTAATGCTCTCCCAGGCTCATGCAGTGTCATGCCCCTCTAAAACATTAGCCGAGCATGGGAGCATCACTTAAATGTGGTCACTTAAAAGATCCTTAAATACCTTATCAGAGACACCAACAAGAACAGAACCTGTTGGGTTTGTTGGTGTGGTTTGCTCTCCATCACATCATAGTCTTACGGTGGCCCTTGTTGAAGTAGAAGACACAACAGTAGCAACAGTGGAGTACTTAGGGTCCAGGAGGTCTGTCCCGGTTACAGGGATGGATGGGTTACAATAATAGCAACAGTGGAGTACTTAGAGTCCAGAAGGTCTGTCCCGGTTACAGGGATGGATGGGTGCATGGGGAACCTGAGCTGCCAGGGCTCTCAGACGTGTCATTTCTCCCCTGCCAGCCTCCCTCTGCCCACCGCTGAGACAGGCTAGTTATCTGCATAAGCACAGCATTGCCATGTCTATCTGCATGGCGTGTCTCCATCCTGGGGCTTGAGGCATTCCTGCTACAGAGTCACAGGGAGAAAGCTACCCTGGAAAGGACCACAGCAGGCCACCTAGACTGGCCTCCGACCCACAGCCGGGTTCAGGATTACCTCAGGGCTTTTCCTGGTTGATATTTTTAAAAACCTCCAAGAACACAGACTGTGCAGTTTCTCAGGATATCTCTCTGGGCTCTTGGCAAAGAAACTTGAGGTTGCTCGATGTGTTTTTTAAACCCTCCCGTGAACAAGTGGGAGACACTAATTAGATCTTTCCCCTGTTATCTCATCCCCAGTCTAAATTAGCCGCCCTTGTCTCCAAGCTAAACAAGCCCTCTTCCAAGTGTGGTTCCTGCAGCCCTGGTGGCCCTCGGCTGGACTCGTGCCAGTTTGTCACTCCTTTCTGTGGGCCCAAACCTGGATGCGGAAATCCAGATACGGCCTCATGAGTGCCACATGGAGGGTGTTTTTGGGGGTACAAGGGTGAAGGGTACTGGCAGAAGTGGTGGGGAGGCAGCGTTGTGTCGGGTCTGGGTTTGGAAGGGGGACTCCTTTCTCACGCCTCTGCGGGCTGGAAGGTCATGGGCTGTTTTCCTCGGAGGCCTTGGCCTTTTCCCCTCAGAAAGGAATCTCACATCCCGCGTAGTGGCTCTGACACAGTTTCTGGGTATCATCTTCCCGTGTTTACTGGCAGGCTCTGGCTTGTGACCCCTTTTAGCTCAGTCAGCTTGGAAAAGAATATGTAGAGCACCGTATCCAAGTGCTCTCACAGCTGCTCCTGCAGCATTTCTGGCACTCGGAGCCATCGACAAAATCTGCCATTTGAACTAAAACTTTCTGTGTCCGCTTTTTAGCCTTGGGATGGTTTATTTACTTATTTATTCATTTTTGAGTTTGAAGGTAAATCATTTAACCATATTTCAGCTACCAGAATGTGAAGGGAATACAGGCAGATAGTCTTCTGTGTGAAATGAATTCATAAATTACAATAGACCCTATGAGGAGACTGGATGAGTTAATTGGAAAGCTGTAATTAACTGGTTAGAAGGAGTATGCAGCCCACCTTGATCCTGTGGTGTGGGAGTCCCTCAGCCAGAGCCCCAGCTCATTCCTCGCTGCCTGGGGAAGTCCAGCATCCCAACTGCTGGTGGTTTTCTCTCACCTTCCTGAATTTCCTCTTGTGCTGTTTTCCTTTGTCTGTGCTGGCAGCTGCAATGGTGATTGTTCTGTGCAATTGTATCTTGCATAATGATACAGGAATTAACAGATCTCCCTTTAAGAGTTTGCACCAGCAGGTCATGTTTTGCATCTCATTGTACTGTGTACAAATTCTGCTACATCCAAGAAATTTCTTTTCTTTTTTTTTTTTTTTCCCCCTGCTAGTACATTGTGTGTAAATTGCTGGAAGATTTTTCCAATGTAAAGCTTTTTCTGAGACATAATCTCTGCTTGTCCACTTCATATAAAGCCAGTGATTAATGCATGAAGAAGATCATATATATTTTGCTTCTCATACTAGTTACAAATATTGACTGTATTTTCTGGGAAAGTAAAACTGATACTACTTTTTCAATTCTGAATTTCAAATTGGCACTGAAATATAGAATAAAGGGCTGTTTAGACTTGAAAAGCTTCCAATATTTGCAATACTGAGATCTAATTTTAAACTCTTAATTTAGAAAATGTTAGCAGTAGCCATGATGAAGTCCTTCCTGATTCTGCAAAGCGCAGTAGAAAGCCCATGTAGCTGAAACAAAGGAATGAGAGGGGTGTTAGTTGGGGAGATCCACCCAGGTCACCACTGGATATTGAAAAGGGGAAACTCCCAGTTTCCACTATGTGGAAGCCAGTGGAGCAGAGCGCCCTCTGTTTATTCTTTATGATGGGGCAAAGTCTCACACTTAATAGTAAAATTTCTGGGAATGTCCATTACATTTGTAAATATGGATCTTCTTTCCACCTTCACTGCTTTCATAGAATCATAGAGCAGCCCAGGCTGGAAGGAACATCAGAAGATTGTCTGATGCAACCTTTCATGGGAAAGGCAGCCTAGATGAGATTGTCTAGCACCCTGTCCAGTCACATCTTGAAAACCTCCTGTGATGGGGACTGTACTATGACCCTGGAAAGGTTGTTGGGGTGAACAGTTGTTCTTCACAAGGAGTGACATGGAGATTACAAGGGGCAACGGGTACAAGTTGCACCAGGAGAGGTTTCATCTCAGCATACAAAAGAAATGAAGCTTCTAACTGTGTACATATGCATCCATGTGTGACTTGCACTCCCGTGTTGGACGGATGCGTTAGCTAACCAACTTCTGTGTACACATGCATCCATGTGTGACTTGCATCCCGTGTTGGACGGATGCGTTAGCTAACCATACACACGTTTAGTTAAAACCTGGCTTAGGAAACCTGTGTTTATCCCAGAACTGCTCACTAAGCCATTCCTAAGCAAGGGATGAATCCCTGTAAGCTTTGCAAGCTTGCTAAAGCGAGGTGTCTACTGGCAATTGGATCCTTTCCCTTCAGTGTGCTCTGTCTTTAATCCTGCCCTTATTGCTTGAGGTGGGACAATTTTTCCACTCGGGTACTATTTTCCCAGAGTCAGTTACAAACTGGGATGACGCTGGGTTGTACATTTTTCTGCAAAGTGCATGAACCTTGCTCAGATGCTCCCTGGAGATGAGCCCTATTTGGAAGAGGGGAGCTGTGAGACGCGTGCAGGAGGCAGGGGTGGGAGAGCAGGACGAAGCAGGTCTCTCCTGGAGAGGGGTTATCGTCCCTGCAGAGATGCTGTATGTTGCATGAAGTGGTGTCTGAGCAAGCGGGCAGCTGCGGTGGGTGCCAGGGACCCTCCCCGGGGCTCAGGGGGCAGCCGAGCTGGCAGAGCAGCTCTGCAGGGAGGGGGAGAAGGGCAGCCCCCTGGGGGGACAACCTTGTGCCTCTCCTGCCCACCTTTGGGAAACGGGTGTTGGTACCAGGAGTTAGTGTTTGCTGAAATGCTTCAGAGATGAAGGTAAGGTTGTTACCTGGGCAGGCACTTCTTCAGGGTGCAACTTTCATAGGAGCCCAAGTGACCTTGCGGCGTGAGCTTTTGGAAAAGGCATTGAAAAAAAAAAAAAAAAACTCACTACGATCTTTCTGCGCTTTCAGTGTAAACAATATAAGGTTTCCACAGCCCGAAGAGTTATTCTTGTTTGTTTTGTCAGTGTCTGCTTTAAATAGCATTATTTTGGAAGAAGGAAGGGTTCAGGCACTTTGTATGTCTATTTATGTTTTCTGCATACTACTTCCCGGACTTGTGCATGGTATTTTAAGCGTGATTACCTCCCAGTGTTGATATGTCTGTGCTGCCTCTCTAAATTCAGCTGATGCCTGTTGGCTTCATCGCGTGTTTCCAAAAATACAAACTTCAGAGCAACAGGATTCAACCGAAAGAAGTGTCAAAAGGAAATCGTGGCAGTACGCTGAGATACGCTCTGCTACAAACCAACAGCCAATGTTAAATGTGCAGCACTTCTTTCAGCCACCCTGTCTCATCATCTGCTGGAGCTCTGTCTGCGTGAGTGCTTTCTAACTTGCTCTTTCTGTTTCTTCATGCTTCCCTGGATTCAGAGAGAGGTAAATTACTTTCGTTTTTTCTATTATTCTCTGTGTTTATCCTTCCAGCATGCACCAAATAATGCTTGTGTTGGTTTGCTTGTATCAGTGAACAGAAACTAAACGAAACTAAACTTCAGTGAGTAAATTCGTATCTCTCTGTCACCTTTTCACCTCGCTATTAACACAAATCAATATTGCCTGTTGTTTTTTTTCCAGGTCCCAAACCCTCAAGTACTATAACAGTTTAAAATCATGCTGTGCAGTGATTCGATATTTGCTTCTGGAGCTTTGAGTTTAAAATTTAAACATTGTTGTTCTCTGTAATCTGAAATGCAAGGAAGTGGTATTAAAATTCCACCCTGTATTTTTTAAAAAATTAAAAAACACAATGCATAGAGCAGGGAATTTAAGTTTAGCAAGAACTTGAAGCAGTCTTTATTTCCTATTTTTGGTATTTGTTTTGGATCCAGCTGGGTTTGTCGCTTGCCTTTCAAGTTTGAAGAAAAGTTGTCCCCAGTATGTTTGGTTTGTTTCAGTGCACAAAGGCATCGTTTGGGATTCTCTACAATGCTTCCCGTTTCATGGGAGCGCAGACACTGAGGCATTGTAGTCAGGTGCTTTGCAGCACAAGGGCTGCAGCCACTCCAAAGGCTCTTACTGATAGAATTGCATCCCTCAGATGAGATTCGGGGTTTGTTTGCTCTTCTAAATTGCGAGGACTTGATACTGGGACTGGGTGGAAGGAATGTGGAGATGTGGACCGTTCCTCGCGTTTGCTTTGTGGAATATAATGAGAACAGTTTCCAGGCTTGACTGGTTTTTAATCAATTCTTTGGGCGATGCTGGCCTAGGGAAATGTTTGAACTTTCTTGATTGTGGCTTTGCAATCTAATGTAGATTTCATGCATGTGGGAAGCGAGGATCCTCCCAGACAAGCGCTGGCAAAAGTGTGCTGCAAGCAGATTCGTGGGTAGTGTCTGCGCACGACGGCTGTGTTCTCTGTCTGAATAATAAAGAACAAAGGAGAACTAGTAAGCAATGCTTATAAAACAAATCACACCAGAGAGATTAACTGTTCTGGTGTCATCCGCTGTCTTCTGCTGTTAAGTCTGTAGTAGTGCTTTGAACATCTCAACTTGATGCATTTCTTTATTAAATCTTTAGGTATTCTTTACAAAGGCCTACGTCTTCCAATTAGATCTGGAAGAAGCATTGTCAAAAATATCTAAATGCTAATTTGTCAAAATCAAATCTACAGGATCTGCTGCAAAGAGGCTCTTCAGAGGTTCACATGAATAATAACACATTCATTTTACTTAAAGGAAATTCAGCATTCATCAAAACCACTAGACTGGCCATCCTGAACCACCACTTTGCAGTGCTATGAAGGAGAAGCAGCACCTACAATGGCCTTGACAACCCACCTCATTTGTGTGTCTTTTCCTTGAAAACCACTGCCCAGGGTAGGAAGGCAGCCCCTGCCCATGCGCATTTCATAAATGTTGTGAAGCAATTAAGCAAAAAAAAAAACCACCAAAAAACAACAAAACTCCACCCTGAAAAATTTGTAGCCATAAAGTCAGTGTTCAGTGATTTGCATGGGATCTGTCCCAGAAGTTCTGTCTTCCTGTAAGTCCGTTTATAAAACAAGCTGAGGTCTAAGGTGCTGCTTGACTTTTCAACTTGCCATGTGTGTCTAGCAGCTGGTGAGGAGCAGGAAGCCCCATCTGACCCCCATGTACCAGCTGGATGTGGCATACTGTTCTCTGGGTCCCCCCTCCTCCTGCTGGTGCTACAAGAGTGCAGAGTCTCCAGGGGAGGCTTGGTGGTGACGGAAGCACTTGTGATGGACTGTTCTCCTTACCCTGACAATAGTACTTTGGCCTTGTCAGGAGGTGAGGTTGGGAAGGAGGACCAGCATGGAATGTAAATCTCAGCTGTGCAATCTGTACTGTTGTCACTGTGTTAATACAGCTCGTGGATCTGGAGACCTTATAGATGTTGAGTCACGCTTTGACATGACTCCATCTATGTACATCTGTGGCCCTTTGCAGGGGTGGAATATAGCCCTTGGTAGTGGAAAGGGAGATGATTTGTAACATCTCAGTAGCAGGGGTGGCAAGGCTGGCAGGAGTCCTGTCCCCTCCCCTGCAGGAGGGAGGTGGTGGGAAGCACGTTTTGGGGAATGGCGTCTCCAGCTTCACGAAGATCAGGCCACGGGAAGGGAATTGGAATGAAAGTCATGCGAATGCTTTCAGGCTTGGAAGCCCTGGGCTCGGAAGGGCTGAGCTGGGTATCGGACGCATCGGCTCTGTGAGGGTTTTAACAAATTTTGGAAGTGCACAGAACTGTGGCGATGATAAGACATCAAAGGAAAACTGGCAGGCTCTGTGTTGTAGGGCTGCCAGATTAAAGCCTCTGAGTATCGCACAAAGTAGCCATAGCTCCTCCTGGAGAGTTAGCGGGTGACGTTATCAAGGAATGAAGCAAGCAGCCTTTCAGCAGGGGATAATTTGCCCTACAAATTTCATGCATGAATTAAAAAAACAAGCTATGCTGTGTCAATGCCAGACCATTTGAGGAGAATTTCATAAATGCAGAACTGGTGTTTTACTGCAAGGAAAATGCATTTTTAAGTTATGTGAGGACTGAAATAAGAAAACAGTCTCTGCTTGAGAGGGTATCTTAACTACTTGGGTTAAAATTAATGACCAGGTCTGCCATTCTGCTGGGGAGCAGCCAGAAAGGTGCAGGAGCTCTGTGGGATGGAGCTCTTGGAGTGAAGGAAAATGGCAAGGCTTTTGTATGGTTTTAGGATGGCCAGAAACTGTCAGAAACATAGAGAATTTTATTCTCTCCCACATCTCTTCCACCTCTAATTATTGAGAAGGGAGTACCTGTTAATATTGGGGAGGGATACTTTTATGAGGGATTGGAATGATGGGACAAGGGTTTTGAACTGAGAGAGGGGAGATTTAGATTAGATACCGGGAAGAAATTCTTTACTGTGAGGGTGGTGAAGCACTGAAACAGGTTGCCCAGAGAAGTTGTGGATCCCTGGAGGTGTTCAAGACTAGGCTGGATGAGTCTTTGAGCAACCTGATCTAATGGGTGGTTCCCTTCCCATGGCAGGGGCTGGGACTGGATGATCTTTAAGGTCTCTTCCAACTCTAAGCATTCTGTGACTCTATGAAATATGAAGGAGAAGATGCATGGGAGTAGTTATTTTATTTCCTCCTGCTGCAGGTTTTGATTCCGAAGTGGTTGGTGTAGTCACCTGGAGAAGGGGCTGTGGGTTTCCTTTGGAGGGTGTGGAAGGGAACCAGTGGTTTCCTTTGGTGTTTTCTTCCTCCTGCTGCAGGTTTTGATTCCGAAGTGGTTGGTGTAGTCACCTGGAGAAGGGGCTGTGGGTTTCCTTTGGAGGGTGTGGAAGGGAACCAGTGGTTTCCTTTGGTGTCTATCTGATGTCTGGTAGGCGAAATGGACGTTGAAATGTCCTCAGTAAATCTTCTGCAAACAGATTTTGCATTTCATTTGGTGTCTATCTGATGTCTGGTAGGTGAAATGGAAATTGAAAAGCCCTCAGTAAATCTTCTGCAAACAGATTTTGCAGGTTGTGTGAATGCTGTTTGTTTCACCTAGTCCTGGTTTGTTACCTTCAGGTTTTTCTCCCTAACTTCACGAACTCCTTGACATGAGCCTAATAAAAATCCAGGTGAACTGAACAGAGTCCCAGACTTCATGTCAGCTATGAATCATTTCCCTTCCTCCTATGTAAAAGAGCAGTCTCAGTCAAGGGTTTAAAGTATTGATCCAGAAGGTCTGTAATTTCTGCCATACATATTACTGCAGGGTTTCTTGCACCTCATCTTCTCTTGCTGTTTGTGATACTAGATTATTGGCGTGTCATGGAAAACCCCCATCAGGGTATGGTCTTGTTGGTGTTATATTTATCCACTTTTCTTCTCGTGTGTCTTCTCTCACTTTCCTTGCTTTTCTCCTTCTCCACTCTTTCATTCTGCTCCCATGGATGTTCAGGTCTCACCAGTGAATGGCAACCTCCTGCCACAGGTGCCTTCTGATACCCCCCAAACCGTAGTGGTGGCTGCTGTCCACTTTTTTCTTCCTGCTGTCACAACTCGCTGGTCAGCTCTTGGCAGGAAAGCAAAAAGTGAAGCCTGGAGGTTACAGACCCAGGAGATGGTTTCCCTGCAGCCTGGCAGCGTGTGCTCTGTGGCCCCGCATTCACAGGAGGTGGTACGGTCACACCAGTGCGTGGAAATCACCAGCCATCTTCTGTAGGCTATTCTGGATGAATTTCAATCCATTTTAAGCCAAGCCAGAGGATCTCATTTTCTGGTTCAAGGATTCTTGTTCCGATTTGTAGTACATAAATCTGTAAAGCAATTTACATTTTCCTGCATGTGTATCACTTTAATATAGTTGTTTTAAATAGTGGCAATTTAATTTTGATTTATAAGAGTAAAAAAAATTTATTTCAGACTTCAAGGCTAGGTTGTTGGGGTTTTTTTTTAACCAAAAAAAAAAGAGGTTAATGCAGTTATACACTCCTTTGAAAAAATAAGTTTATAGTGAGAAGGTAATGGAGGATGTGCTGCTCTTCCAGGCTGTGCTTAATTGGGATGTCTCCGAGGACTTTAGCCTAATAGTGGCAAATGGCTATGGCTGCTACTCAAACAGGACAGCATTAGCATAAATTGCATTTAATGTGGTTATATTCATCCAAGGTTGAGCAGCTAAGTGATGCTTAGCCAGGTGTTAAATAGGTATGGCTATCTAAGGTTTAGTCAATTACTGTAGACATTTGCCAATTAAGGAGGGTAAAAGAGCAAATAAAAATGAAATTCCTTTCTACTTAGCACCTTACATTGTCTTTGCATTTCTCTAAATTGCTTTTTAGAATCTCTCTCTCCTGTATTCTTTCAAAATAAAGAAATTTCTGCTGAATTTTTAACTGTTCAACAGAACCGGTTTTACCCATTTGTGCAGCAAAAATA